TAATTCTGCAGTAGGCATCTTTCGTGGCAAATTAACATAGAAATAAAAGGCTACAATTTTTTGTAAATGTAGTATTATGTAGCAGTATACAGGCCTTGAATACAATTAGATCTGTCAGTACAGTTAACTTTGTTTTATTTAATTCAATGTTAATTTAGTCACAGCTGATTGTACTTGTTGGCAAGTTTGTATGTAATTTATAATAAAAATTTCTTTTTACACAGTATAATTATTATTGTAACATTTGAAAGGAAAAACAATTGTGGGATTTACATTAAGAAAATACATGATAGTAAAACATGAACATTTTATTATCTTAGGTACTTAAAATCACTGTTGGGCAACTGTTCTTGATTCTAACTGAAGTGAATTTGGAGCCGGTTTATTTTTCTCTTCAGTCCACACTCCATTCCCTGAGAAGTAATGATTGCTCTCCAAAAAATACAAAGCTAAGCTTAGTTTTTGAGAATTATTTAAACAACTCAGATTTAAATGTTCTAATGATTTATTCTGTACATGTTTTTGTCTTTTATTCATTATTGATAGAGCTTCATTCACTTTATTCCAAGGATAAAGAAGGATTGGGCAGTTTTCAAAAATGTCTTTAGGGGTATATTCCTTGGAGAGTTGTTGATGCACAAATTTCACCTGAACAAGGGGTATGTTAATCCAGAAAGGATGTCTTCTTATGATTTGACGTACTTCGCTGCTTGTGTAGTTTCTTCCTAAAGCTTGTGTTAAGCAAAAAATTAGGTCTTTCCCCTTACCTAACCTGTCACCTGGAGCCTTTTCAAATGCTTCATACCTGGAGGAACTGCCCGAGAGGATATTTAGACTTAAACATTTCTTGTTATTATTGTACAATGTCATGAGCCTTTTCATAGCAGTCTTGTTGAAGTAAATCATTTTCAGGAATCTTGGATGATTGAAAAATGCATTAAATTCAGGTATGGTTTTGGCATTTTCTAGTCTCTCCCTTATGGTATTTGGCCCAAGGGTGTATATTTCAAAACATTTTTTCTGTGCCTCATTACTGATTCCATATTCCTGCAAAACTTCTCGTATTGCCATTAAAGAACTAAAATTTTTTGTGGCCACTTTGGGATGCAGTCTAATAACTTCTTTTATATCAATGCCACCTATTGACCGAAAATTATAAATGATTTGTCTTAAGTTGTCAGGATCGGCTTGGACTAAGTACAAATTGGACTTTATTTTGTGGGTAGGTAACATTATTTGGGATTGTAACATAGTCAGAGTCTCATTTAATACTTCCAAAGGCCTGTGTTTAATAGTGGGGTAAGTAAGTATACCTCTATTAAATTCTTCATTTGTTAAATCTAAAACAAGTTCCAGATATCGTTGAATAATTCTTAGCCGGAGCATTTGCAATGTATAATTATTGACATCATCATTAATGAGCGTCGTTAGCGACGTTGGCCACTGAGTCATGTAACTTGCGAGTCTATTTTCTACATTCATCATACTTTGTATTTCACCTGATTTTTTTAGCTCTCCAATTGTTTTTTGTTTTACTAGATTTAGGTATGCTGCTACATGAGAAGCAGTAATATTAGTAATACCGCATTCGTTTAGAATTCTGTACCTATATCTTAAAGTGATTGGTAAGAGGCTGAATAGCAATGGCTCTTTAACTAATGTCTCCTTGGGGTAGCCCAAATCGTGTAAAGTGTCTATTAGCTCTTTCAGTTTAGTTTTGTCCATTTTCTTAATAACGGGATGCCTTATAGCTAGGTATTCAGCCCTGGCTTTACTAATATTTATTAATTTGGTCAAATGAGACAACTCATTTTGGTTTTGCGACACACTTGAAAAATGACGAGTATAGTGGATCCCTCTGATGAGGAGGCCCATCTGGCAATATTTCCGAAAAAGCATAACTCATAACAATTTAACTTAATTATAATTTCACCCTTTGAATTCTATATATTTTTTATGCATTTATCTAATTTCAGTTGTTTACATTACAAAACATTTTAAGGTTATGTTGTAATGTAAATGTCAAAATAACTTTTTTTTATTAGGACTAGGATCTAAAAATATAACAATCTGAAAATTAAACAATTTCAGGAAGTACTAATAGTCTTTTTTTACATATAGATTGTTGATAATAGTAGAATACAGTAATATAGCAAAGTTAAGACAATTTTTTGTATTTTTTTTCAAGACTTTAATTTTGAAGTAAACAAAATTTCGATTGATTCTTGTTATTATCTCCACAGCCATTATACGAATGAATGAATTACATAAAATTGAATGAATAGTTTTAACCTTTTGTATGCTATGTCATTAGTGGTTTACGTATGTCACTTTGTTTGGGGCGTGTTTACTTTCATTAAATTATTTTCGTATATACGCTTAAAGTCAAATGATAAATTAAAATGATTAATAAATCTAAGACAGGCTTGTTCGCTTTGGGGTTTTACTGTTTTGCATCGTTATTTACATTGTTAGCATTTGTTTGTCCATACTGGCTTGTAACTGACGGCAAATTAAAAAATCCAAAATTCATAAAAATTGGTGAGTTTTATTTATTTATTTATTAGTCAATAGTAAGTTTTGCTATAGTATAGACGACAGCACATCAAGCTACACATTGACGGATCTTGTTCCGTTGCACTGGAGGTAATATTTGACTAAAAGCGTAAAGCTTGATATACGGTTCAACGCTTCTGCCGCTTCTGCAAGCATTTAAATTGAAGGCAAGGCAAAGCAATACGAAGAAGCAATAGAAGAAACAATGGTACAAAAAAATATGAATATGTATTTGCATATACTCTTACAGGATTATGGGAAGTCTGTTTCAACGGTTTCGAGGAAGTTCATCATTGGTATGACACCGTATTCACCGGCTGTTGGTGGATTTTTGAAGAAGAGTATTATATCATTCACGACATTCTCTTACCCGGCTTCTTTATAGCCACTCAATTTTTCTTCACAATCACAATGACTTGTGTTTTGGCAGCTATATTCTTGACGTATTTATATTTGAAGAAAGACAAAGATGATGAACATTATGTTACTTTGCTGCTGACCCTTGGAACGGTTCTCGTAATTGGAGGTAAGATTATACATGGATTATACACACGACTCGTCACTCATCTTATAGGCGCACACACTGATTTTGGGAAAAATCTTTTAAAATATTTTTATTCATTAAATTTTTTTTAATGGTGGATTAGGGACACTGTGTCCCTAGACACTGTGTTTCTAGGACGCGTGACTGATTAAATGAACATATCAATAACATTGTACATACTATAAACATTACTAATTGCAGGTTTCTCTGGCATTATATCGGTGGTAACATTTGGAGCCAGAGGTGATGGAAGAGACTGGATGCCTAACTGGGAACACAATGATTTGGGTTGGGCTTACGCATTTGGAGTTATTGGAGTTATCTTTCTCTTTCCATCAGGAATACTGTACTTGATCGAAGCCAGAGTGAGAAAATATAAGAGGCTACATGAAATGCAAAGCCGAGATCCCTCATCTTACACAATGCATGAGAGGAAAGTTCCTTATACGGGCGGACACACCGACATTTAAATTTTACTATGACATGAATTTTACTAGCCATTTATATTATAATTTTTAGTAGACACTAATCTGATGAAAATAGTTATAAGTTAACTAATTGTAAACTATGAAAACTATGTTGTGTGTTTTGAATCTCACTTTAAAACAAGATAGCATTTAACATTGTATTACTTTTATCCTTTATGATCATTAACCTACCTTATTGATATGATTACTTTTAAGATGTAGCATCTTAAATAATGCTGTCTGATAAAAGTGCCTTTAATAGTAGCTATTGAATTGCATTAAGTCTACAAGTTATTAATTTAGCGTTAAGAAATATTATTTGTGTGTATACATTATTTTACAATTTTAAATCGTGTCTAAGTATGTACTTACTTACTTTATTTTTTATTATTTTTATAAATTCTATATCCGTCCAATACTGTGAAATAAAAATTAAAAAATATGCTTATATCTCCGTTTTTATAATTGATTTATCATAATAAAAATATATTGGTGATGAATGTATTCGATGACGATGAAGCAAGGCATAATTTACATTTGCCACAGACGGAAGCGTTAATTTCGCTTATATTAATTCGGTTAAAGCTCAAGACACGATAGTTTCATAATACGCATCATTAACTGTGAAAGATGATTTCAAATTTTGAGGTATGGTAGTTTTAGAGAGCAAAGCTTGTGTCGCTGACTTGTAACCTATTGCAATGCATTTTGGTTCTACTGAATTTGTGAGAACACCACTAATGAAACTGCTAGCAAAGCAATCTCCCGCTCCAGAAACATTTACAATATTGTTTATTTCTTTCGCAGGATATAGGCGCATTTCTAAGTCTCCTTTTGCGGTACGTCTAGAAGTAATAACACCTTTTGGACCTAAAGTAACAACTAAGATATTTACAACGTCAGACACAATTTTGCACAATTCTATTATTCCGTTTATTTCAGTTGTTTGAGCTAATTTAAAATCAGGCTTTACAAAGTTGGCCATTGCATGTAGCTCTGCTACATTTGGAGTGGCCAATGTAATGTGCTTCTTGGTATGTAATGGCTTGGTTGCTTTTCTTCGGTCAGTAGGTTCAAAGAAAACTGAAACAAAAAAAGAGGTGTTATAAAAATTTGCTTCATATATGAAAATGTACAATAAATTGTAAATTTTTGTAAACAAATATTATTCTTTGATTCCATTTTTTATAAAATTCCTAAAGTATATAATAAATGTTTTGCTTTGTTTGAATAATAATAGCCGATACCTTACATATTATCATTATATCGTTATTCTCTCTAGTACGTACTTTACAATTTACATACGTAATTCACCGTATGTACATTTTCATCTATAAATTCTTCGTTACAAAACTCGTTCATTCACTCAGGCGGTGTATCTGCTGTTTATTCGTTCATTTAACTCATTCATGTAGTTGTGCATTCGCCGAACAACGCCAACGCCCAAAACAACGTACAAGAATAAAGTATAGAAAAACTAAATTGATCTTTAGTGTTAGTCAATAAGTAAAAATATTGTTTTACATTTGTTGTGAGTGCATCGTCAGTAACTATTTGTCACATTCAGTTCACGAGTAAGTACTTATGATATTTTTTCCAATAGGAATAGTAAAGCGTATGTATGTTTAATAATAATAATATTACAGTGTTGTTTGTGATCTTAAGAGAAAAATGTATGAAAATTAGGTTCTGATAGAATAATCTGATAGAGATTTCATTTTTAGTTTTGAATAAATAATATGCTATATAAGTGAACTATCGTCTACTTAGGTTTTCTTAGCACACATGCATTTAGTGGGTTAGATTACGTTAAAAGCAAATTAATTAAGGATTAGGAAAAAAAGAGGGATATATAGTTAGTCACTTAGCCAATTTGTTTTCTAATTTACTTCAGTTATCTAAGCAGATTTTCCTTGGACATTTAATTTAAAAACCGAAAATATTGGTTCCATTGGTCTCAATATGTTTTATTATCAAAATAGAATTTGTTTAAAGTTACAAATTATTAACATAAATATGTTGTTTGATTTTTGTTAAGTAAATATGAAATACAGTTTTGGTTTAGTTCCAATCCTGTATAGTCTCTGAATTCAGGTTTTAGTAGATTTTTAAATTTAAGTGTCAAACATAGTTTATAACAGAATTTTAATTATTGTACAAATTGTAATGAGAAAAAATAAAAATCAACACTATAAGATTTTAATATTGCTGAGTATCTACCTAGTACGTTAATAAATTCGTCAAAAGCTTTTTAAGTTCCCACAATGAGTAAGGCGTGAGAATTCTTTAGCATTGTGTTTCTGGGTGAATGTTATGTTGTGAGTAACAAAATGTATGTCCGTACAGTATTTACTTAGGAAGGATTGCGAAACATTTGCCTTGTTGTTATTCTTCTCAGGCGTACAGCCTCGCTTTTGGTGCTAAATGACAGTACCTTATAAGAGTACCACATGTCAGGTTGCAAGTATGATGTATAAAGTGCGTACATGTTGGCAATTAACAACTCAAAAATGTAGGGCACGAGGTTTTCGCACTTGCAACATTCCTATTATCGCCAATATCTACTTTATACGACTGTAAGTTTTTTCAGTCTAACGTGCTAGCCAGTGCTGTGTCTACAGTACTCACGTCAGTACATTAGTAAAAGCGCGCGGTTAAAAGTTAATTGGTAATTAAACATCAGCTTAATCTATGTCAATTTTTAACGTAAAGCTTTTTGGGTAATATTATAACGGGGATTTCGTAATTATGGGGAGCTAAAAATATTTATAAAAGATGTAACCTAGTAAAGTTTCATGAGTAATTTTTTTCTGTCTTTTTGTTTATTTGACAGGTTAAGGACATATTCACTTGTTTTAGAGACAATGAAGAACCGAAGCTTAGCTGGCAACTGTGGCATTGGTGTGTTCGTTATTGCCCTTGTGACAGTGGCATTGGCATTTGGCACGCCTAGTTGGTTGGTCAGTGACTATAGAATACGAGGGGCCAGGCTCGACAGGTACTAATCCAGCAATTTGATCTCCTTGCGTTAAGTAATTATGCTGACACGTAATGAATGTGACTCATTTTCGACGTGTCTAAGTTCCCACAAGAATCAGTACAATTAGCAAAGCGATTATTGCAAGGTTGAAGTGGTATTGTTTGCTGTGTTATTTACCATTAAGTTCACGTTTAAAAAAGACGTACTTATTCTTTATTTTTATTTATTTGCATTAATTTATTGTATTTTTGAAACAATGGTTAAATTTGCGTTACAGATTAGGTTTATGGAGCCATTGCTTCAGATCACTACCTGATCCCTTAGACCAGTACCAACGACGCTTTTTCGTGGGATGTAGGTGGGTGTATGATCCATTTACAACTGGATATGACCGAATACGCGGCTACTTACTTCCTGGTTTGTGTTTTTTAATAACAATATGTGTATTAAACCAATTTGGTTTTGCTGTTCACTTCATAAAAAACAAATTCGGAATTACATGGATTTAAACTTGCAGATTTTTCACACATTATTTGAATTTAATGTCGAGATTTAATCGTGTATGAATTATATTTGATTTATCTCGACATTTCGGACGTGCAACGTGTATGGTCTTGAAGAGACTTCGGTAAATAAAATCTACGATTATGTCTCAACATTAAATTCGAATAAGTTCGGAATTCTCGAATTTTCATAACATACAATATTTTTCTTTTTTTAGGTTTCATGATAGCAACACAATTTTTCTTCACATTGTGTTTGATTGGTGTACTGATATCTACGGTATTAGTTCTCATCTTCTTTTTATGTTGTGGACCCGATCAGAGAAGATTCATACTCATAATACGATCTATAGGCTACATTTTGCTAGCTGCAGGTAAAATATGTTTCATTACTGCTCACAAAAGTTGATGTCAACCATGACCACGGAACTTTGTTATTAATTATGACTCCATTTTAGTGCCGAATAAATAGTTTTTAATTTTAATTTATATACAGTGCATTTTTAATCGTGTAAGTGTTTGATCTTACTATTTTATATTTATACAATCAACTTTACAGGTATTAGCGGAGCAATAGCAGTCATAGTTTTTGCGTCATTGGGCAATACCGATGGATGGATGCCAGATCATCCTAATAACTACTTGGGTAATATTTTCGGAAAACGATAAATAGTTCGTAATCGCGACTTTTTATCAGGATTAATAGTTAATATTTTATTTTACAGGATGGTCTTTCGGTCTAGGTGTCGTTGGGGCAATTGCTTGCCTTATCTGCTCAGCACTTTTTTTGACCGAAGCCAGTATTCAAACTAAGAAACGTAATAGATTCAAGGAATCTCAAGCTCGTTTCGAAATGGAACATGAGTCAAAAGCGTAACAAGCAATGCAAAATTGCAATCACTTAATTAATTAGGATTCGTTCAACAAATGCCCTCCTATTCACGTTAAAGGCCAGTGATATTTTGATCAAGTAATTATTCCAGTGCCTTTTCAAGTGATTGTTTTATTGATTGTAAATAATATAATATGTTTTACAACGATAGAAACTGAATGTACGGTTTATACATATGACAGTTTGAAGACACGTTATGGTCGTTTTGATATATACATTTTTATGAAAATATTGTTTTTGACGTTTTTGATGATATTAAAGATGTTTTTAAACTTTGCCATAACACTAACTTATAAAACGAACTTTGACTTCGACTAAGCAAAGGTGGCAAGCTAAGCAAGTTTTTCGTATATACAAAACGAACTTTGGCTAAGTTTAAGCAAAAAATCAAATTAAACTCTTAGTTTACATCGTAATTAATTTATTGTTTGCCTAAAGCAAAGTTAGTTTTGCAAATTCGAAAATTTGCTTAGCTCGCCATTTTTTTACTTAGTCGATGTCAAATTTCGCTTAATAAATTTCAGCGTAAGTGTGAATCTATGTCGCGAACGTGAATCTTGATTTCGTCCTAACGTCCGTGACATTTGTCTGTGAGCTTGCTGTTTAGCTAATGTATTTTTCGGCCCTAATATTAATTGCACAAGATCTGATAATTTTACAATGTAAGTACATAAATTTTAATACAAAAAATGTAACTTAAAAGACTTTCTTAAAATGTACCTAATTTATATTCCGTCCATATTTTAATTTTAAGCACATAAATCATGTAAGTTTTAATATTGACATAGATACTTACTAGTACTTTTAGAACTACATTTTTATATTATAATATTTATAATGAAGTTCTTTTCATTAAATTTTTAAGAATTCAATAATTTTAATTTTTCCTTTCAAATGTTTATATAATATTACGTGAAATAACATGTTCAAACATATTTTCATGAAAGATATTTGAAAAAATATAGGTGATAATGATAGGTATAGTCAAGAGCACATCAAGATTGTAACTTGCAATAGCAAGCGACATAGTTAATTTTCAATTTTAAGCGTTCACACGTGATCTTGACGGTCTCAGTTCTGTACTATGTGAAACGTGCTTCTTGGTGCCTTCCTATTTTTTAAAATTCATTACAGATTAAAATAAAATGACATTGTCACAAACTAAGCGGTAAAAGATACGAAATAAATAAAATATATTGTTTTGGAGTTAGAAACAATCTATATCCACAAAAAAATTAGGATAGCAAAAGCTAAAGGCTATAGCTTGTAAAACAGAATTTTTAAATGTTAATGAAGGCCTTGGCTAGTTTACCACCCAAGACATTCAAACTTATATATTTCTTCGTCAAAGAATTTGCCATGAACGGGGACTTGCTAGCCAACGTTTGGCCCAGACTACAAGATATTATAATATATATATAATATTACTAATATATATAACATTACTAAGTCTCTTGTGTTAATTTGTGACTTGACAAGCTATTTTCTTTTTGTTACGAAAAATCGGACATTTCTTTTACAAAGAAAACACATTTTGAATCTAATACGTATCATTGACCTCAATGATCTAATTACTTTCTTTTTTAAAACTTACGACAGCTTCTTTTCTTAGAGGATTAAGCGCTTAGCGCCTTCTAGTAAGTTTAATGACAATCGCGGTATAAACAAGACGTGCAAAGACTGTAATTTAAATTAATGATTATAATGCAAAACTAATACCTTATTATTTTTAAGTATACAAGGAAGGGTTAACAGACGTATTGAATGAATGAACAAAAGGAATGAGCAAATTGATGATAGTGTGGAATAAGCGCGGGAAAGCTCGACTTAGGCGGGTTAGTTTTTTCGGCTTACAAATTGAATATTTAATAATAATTGTAATTAGGTGTCAGGAGTGTAGTATTTGTATAAATACTATTTATTTGATTATATATATTGTATTTTGTGTAAATAATCATCGTCATCATTTTTCCTTTTGCCTAAAATGGACGAGCCCCCTGATCCAGGGGGCACAGTCCCCTCAGTTGGTAGAAACGTGATTATTGCCTCCAATGATTCCAGTATGGACACGGACCATACTGATAAATCTCTAAAAGGAAGGAAACGTATTCGGCAGCGTAAAATTTACAAACATTGCAATAAGAAAAAACGTAAGCATAAGTCTCAATCAGACAATGGATGTAGTTGTTCAGATAGCGACATTTGCGGTACCAAGTTTAACAGTACTACAGAAATTTTCTCGACGCCCCCATCATCTTCCCCGGTTCAGCCTGTTCCTGCTCCCATACCTACCCCTTCTACGAATATTAATACTACCCAGAAAGACCAGGATTTGCCAGGCCACTGATTGTTTGAGCATCAAGATATCTCTCTGTATGTAGTTCATGTACAAAGATTAACCACTTCCTTTAATGAAAGAATGGTTTTAAAAACAATTAATGGTAGTGTGTAAAAGATTGGCAGGAACAGAGTTTCCCTATCCTTCTCAGACTTCCAGAGCGCTAAGTTTTTCTTGAATGACACTAGTTTGGTAGCTAGCAATTACAAAGCTTTTATACCTACCTTCAGCATTACGAGAATGGGCCTAGTTCGTGGAGTTCCTGCAGACCTAACCCCCGAAGAAGTGAAAGAAAGTATGTAAGTTCCTATTGGTTGTGGAGATATTGTTAAGATAAGACGTTTGAAGTATAAGGTGACTGTTGACAATCAAACTACGTGGAAACCCTCCCAAACTGTAGTTGTGTCCTTTGATGGGCAAGTTTTACCAAAAAGAATATTTATGTTTTATAATGCTCTTCAAGTAGAATTGTACATCTTTCCAACTGTCCAATGCTATAATTGTTGTCGGTATGGACATACTAAATTGCAATGCTGTTCTAATGTGCCTCTATGTTTTAAGAATGGGCAGGATCACTCAGGTGAATCATGTTCTGTTGATGAAGGTGACGCTCAGTGCTGTCACTGTTCTGGGTATCATTTAGCTACTAGCAAGTCATGTCCAGAATATGAAAGGCAGAGGCGTATAAAAGTGTCTATGGCTCAAAATAGTATTTCTTATTCTGAAGCTTACAAACTTCATCCCGCAGTGACAAAGCCTTATGCTGATATTCTGGCTTCTCCACATAGTTCTTTTACTTCCACTTCTCATAGTGCTACTCCATCATCTTACAAAAAAACTGTGTTGTTAAAACCTAAAGACCCACCAAAGCAATGAACAAGCTATGATCAGAAAGCTCATAATGAGTTTGCTAACGAATATAATATGACCAATGAAAATTCTAGAGGAACAATGTTCAATTTTATTAATAATGATTCAGCCTTCCATAGCTGATATTATATCATCTTTGATAAATCTATTATCCCAGTCTAATATGATTGTACTGTCTAACGTTGCTTGCTTAACTCAAAGTTTAATTCTAAACTTTAACATTGACTCCCAACGCAACAGTAATACAGTGGAATTGCTGAAGCATAGTAAATAAAAAATCTGAGCTAATATATATTGTAAATAAATTTAATCCTTTTATTATTTCTCTATCTGAGACCTGGCTTAGACCTGAGTTCAGGTTTAAGATCCCAGGCTATTCCTGTCTTTGCGAAGACAGAATTGACGGGCATGGTGGTGTTGCCTTGCTCATTATAATTTGTTATCCCTTTTCTTTAATTAATCTTCCTTCTCATAGTGATGACTATTCAGTCATTGCTGCTTCTGTAAATAATATTTGTTTTGTTTCTATTTATGTACCTCATCTAACTACCTTAATATTAAATCAAATTATTAATTTGTTTTCTATTCTTCCCAAACCATGTTTAGTCATGGGAGATTTTAATTGTCAACATCAAGTATGGGGAAGCTCCTTATCAAATTGCTATGGAGATCAAATACTTGACATATTAGACACCAACAATCTTTCCTTATTGAACACTGGAACTCCTACTCGCATTACTGACCCCGACAACTCTGTTAGTGCTATTGACCTTTCAATATGTTCTCCTACTTTATCACTTTCCTTAACATGGCAGACCTTGACATCTACCTTTGGTAGTGATCATTTCCTCATAGTCATTACTTTTCCAATTCAGAGTAAAAAGAACTTGAAATACAAGTTAAACTATAGATACAACTTACAAGGTGATAAATGGGATCAATTTAAAAAGCTTATTAAATCAAAGATGTCTACTCTACCCGATATAAACTGCAATAATGTCATAGAAAATTCAAATGCTTTAGCTTTGTTAATCACTCAGTGTGCAGATGTAATTTTCCCTATTAAAAACAGTTATTCAAACCTTATCCCCTCCCCTGTCTGGTGGGATGAAGAATGTACTTCAGCTGTTAAAAGGCGTAAAGAGGCTGAAGAACGATATTGATATAGTATGACTATCGAGAACTTTGAGTCGCTCAAGTTAATTATGTCTAAAACAAAATGACTCTCAAAGAGAAGAAGTTTCAATGCTGGCGTAGATTTTGTGATTCCATCAGTCCCAGTACCAACTCTTCTGTTGTATGGAACATGATACGTCGTACGTACGTGGAGTATGAATATTCTCTACAGAGGACAATAAATAGAGGTTTTCCGCAAGGATCTGTTTTGATTCCCATACTGTACAACATATACACCCATGATTTAGACAGGTATTTAGGTAATGGAGTTTCTATTTTGCAATATGCTGACGATGTTCTTTTATATGTTGACTCTAATCTAAGTGACCAAGCCGTGAATGTACTATCAAATAAATTGACATTGTTAAAGTGCTGGTTAAATTCGAATGGTCTAGATTTATCAGATAGCAAAAGCTCCATTGTGTTTTTCTCAAGGCGTAAAGTTCATCCTGCAATAGACGTTTCTTTTAATAATAACATAATCTCTATTGTTGGCGAGGTTACATATCTTGGTATTCTTTTTGATTATAAAATGAATGGTTCCTCATTGTGATTATGTTGTTAATAAATGTGAAAAGGTTCTTAACATGCTTAGATGGTTATGCGGGGTCTGGTGGGGCAGCCATTCGTAGTCTTTAAAACTGCTGTATAATGCTCTGATTAGGAGTATAATTGACTATGGATCTTTTACGCTGGAGCCATGTGGCTTGTCTAATCTTAAAAAGCTAGATAAGATTCAGTCGAAGGCCCTCAGAATAATAACCGGTGCTATGAAATCAAGTCCGATAAATGCGATGCAAGTGGAGTGCGTTGAACCTCCGCTTGCCCTTCGTCGACAGTTTCTAGCTGATAAATACTTTTTCCGCATTATCCAATTTAATCGTCACCCTTTACTGCAAAAACTTGAGCTATTAAGCAACCTAATAAATACCCCTGGTTATTGGTCTCACAAAAGTACTCCTTGCCTTATAAATAGTTATAGAAAGTATCTTACATTACAAGTTCCAACTCATAGTTTTGACATTCACCCACTATACTGTAGTAATTATGAATGCCTTATTTTACCCCTGACGTTTGTTTACGTGACGATTTTAGTGAAGTTAACGTTAAGCGTAAGGTAAGCGTTAGCAAAACGTCTGTTTTGCTAACGCTCCCTTTAACTTTAACTTAGATGTTAATTGGCATTCCTACAATCATATTTTCACTGACGCCTCCAAACTAGATAACTCGACCGTAGGAATGGGTGTTCTTCATTCTCAATACAATATAATTCAAAAAACAAAGCTTCCTCCTGAAATATCCGTTTTCTGGTGAATGCGTAGGTCTTCTTAAGGCAGTTGAATACATTCTCTTAACAATATTACATGAAACAATAATATTTTCTGATTATAAAAGTGCTCTGCAGTCATTATATAAATTCCCTTTTAAATCAGGTAACATTTTCCCAGTTATTTGTCAAATTTGTCAAGCCATTTACAAGTGCCATTCAAAGGGTCTTTCTGTATTATTTGTGTGGATACCAAGTCACAGTGATATTAGAGGTAACGAGCGAGCCGATATCTTAGCTAAAGATGCAGGAAATAACGCGATGTAGATTTATATAGAAACTTTGCTCAAGACTTGGCTACACTACCTGCTATTTATCTTAAAGAATCTTGGCAAACTGTGTGGGAAACAAGCAGTAAAGCTACGAGTAGATATTTTCGTGATTTACAGCCTGACTTCCCTGTCAAACCCTGGTTTTCGCGTGTACATTTTGAGAAACGTGTTACTTCAATCATTACAAGAATGAGATTAGGATATACTTGCTCATCTGAACATCTTGCTAGACTGAATGTAATACCTGATACAATGTGCGAATGCGAACAGACATTGGCAGTCTGAACCACCGTTTCTTTTCCTGTCCAAGATATGTCCGTGCTTTGTTTTTTCAATCTACAATTTCTTTACAAATTCCTTTACCAACATCTATGCCTCTGTTATTATCGTATAATAATTATTCCGTTTACAATGTTTTGGCTCAGTTTATAAGGAAAAATTATATTAAAATTTAGATTATTATTTATCAAATTATCATTAGTTTCAGCTATTACCATCTCATTTCCATTTCCTTTCATAATTTCCATCCTTCATTGGTTAGATTTACTTATAAATATACTACCTATCCTATCCTGTTGATCACCTTTCCAAAATTCCGTTTGCTTTTATTTGTATTCCGCTATTTTCTTTCCCCGCTTTTAATTTCATATTAATATCCATAAACCCAATCAAAGTTCCACAACAACAACTGCAACGACAATAATAATTATCCTGAAATCTCAAGAAGCAAGAAAATATTTATTTGGAAGATTAACAATTTGCAACTCAGTGGAAATTGCATATGGCCAGAGGCTGGACGCCATAGTGCCAAAATATAAGAAAAAAAAAGATGATGGTGTGTCAAATAAAAAAAAAACAATATATAAAATCTTCGGTTGTCATTATTGTATTGTCAAAACAAATTGGACGACTTGTAGTCGTGATACGGTCGGGCATAAAAAGATACTTATAGTAGAAAGTGAAACTTGTGTGAATACGTTGTAAATTAAAATCGAAAACGAGAAATACGCATTACAATGACTATCGCCGATAATGAATATCCAAAAGCATCGAGTAAGTACCGCAATCGGAAAGGACACGCCCTATGTGTTTATTTTTCTGTATGTTTATTATAGTTCTTACATAAATTTTTGATATCGTTGAGTAAATGTGTAACAAGTGTTCTTCTTTAACCTTTATGTAATCTATAATATAAACATACAATACCTAAATTGACATAGTTTTTTTAACATCGTTTTTAGATGCTACGTTAATTGGAGCCAGTATCACATATGTGGCAGGGTTATTTCTGCTACTCTCGTTTGCGGGTCCTTACTGGATCGAGTCTTATCCTGAAATGTTCTCCTCCTTCAAACATATGGGATTGTGGGAGTACTGCTTTGATCAGTTCAGATTTCCTTCTTACCAGTTCGACCATTTGTTTCATGGGTGTCACTACGTTTTTAGTCAAGTGAGTATACTTAGTATATTTGCAAGTTTACATTATTGAAGTATACTTGCCTTATCATCTAACTCAAACGTCAGCCTAATTTTCAGAGTATGACTGATAGTAAAAGTGCCATTTAAAATATAGCTCAGATGGCAAACGGTGTTAGGTTATACTATAATTTTACAACAAATGAATAATGTTATACTAGTGGGAGATGGTGCCTTCAAATTAGAGGCTTATAGAAGGAATGTAGTGTCATCTCTGAGGCGCTACAGCTGCACCTCTACTAATTTTCATACAATATTTAGAAGAGTCATGATGTGCATGCACTACTTTTGCAGTCAGAATTAGACACTAAAAATGCGTGAAGCTCTTCAGACGCATGACTACCACTCCACAGTTGCGCCATTGCAGTGCTTCTACATGCGAATTTGAAGACACCCTGGGTATGGGTTTTAGGGATATAACATTTCACACTGAACATCAGGCTGTTCAAAGAAGTCCTGTGCAAACCTTGCTACATGGTTGATTTAGCTACTAATTTCAATCCAATCCAGCAAACTTAGTGCTTGTAAGTCAGTCTAGCTGTAAAGGTGGTATTTTATTTTTGTCCTATTCTATTCAATGGCTGTGTCTATAAATAACCAGACATTGTATAGAAATAAAATTGAAAATTAAAAACCCCCAACACAATACTCCAAAAAGTAAGCTAAAAAGTAAGAATTCATCAAGACCAATTGAACATGCCCAAACATGAATAGTTCTACTGTAAGTAAACGAGAAGTTAGGTAGTAAGCAGACTGTCTTATGATATTAATGTAATATCCCCTCTCCTCAGATTTTTGTGTTATAAAACACGACATTTCGTCCTGTCACTTTGCATCACAAAAAAAAGCTTGTTTCATGTTAAACCAAGGCTAAGTGCTTTAATAAAGTCCAATGATTGTAGTTTGTATCATGTGTATATTTATATATTTACTATATGCTTTCTTTTAGGAGTACTATGTAATCCGCGAATGGCTATTACCTGGCTGGCTGATGGCTGTCCAGGCTTTTGTGACTCTTGCCCTAATGCTGTCCTTCGCGTCACAGATCTTACTTGCGTGTGTTATAGTACGCTGGCCTCTGCGTACGGTGTTGAGATATGAATGGATCTTTGTCTCTATATCCTTTATTATGGTGGCTTTTGCAAGTAAGTTTCTTAAGTATTTGCTTAGAATTTTTTTACAAGTTTTTTTAATATCATTGTTAAGAAACATCAGTTACACTAGATATTTCTGTATTTGTAATGTGTAAGAGAGGAATTTCTAGTACAACTATACATATTTTTACTTAAAAGAAGTTTCGAACCCTGAATTGTAAACTAGGCCCAAGTTAAAGTAAATAAACATTTTGATTACTTATATAACATGATAAATCCTTGAGGCGACTCTCCTTGGGATGTTGGTGGGAAAAAGGTTCTACTGATATGTACAGAGTTCTTCTATTTGAATGAATAAATATTCATCCGCTTACACACATCCACTGCAGGATGTAAGCCGCCCCCTGAGCACGCGAACTCAACCGATATTAGTATTAACTTTGCAATATGCAAATGGATGGTTATATTACCATTAAAAATATATTCAATACAATACTCAAAATAATATATATACAATATTCGTAAACTAGCATCATCCTTATCAGATTTATTAATAATTGTAATACGTCTTATTTCAGGTGCATATTTGTTCTTGGCAGTGGCAGTATTTGGAGGCAATTGTTACCGCCGCGACTGGCTGCTCTATCCTTCTTTCAACATTTTGTCTTGGTCGTATGCATTTGCTGTTGTGGCCTTTATTTTGTTTGGTAAGTAGTAACAGACTCAGACATAATGTTATAAACCATGGGTACTATTTGCATGGGCAATAAACAAAAAATAAACACCTTTTCGTGATGTAAATAAAACGTCATAATGTATTGTTGATTGAATATTATGATGGTACCATAATATTCATCTGTTTTTTGTGAAAATACTCCACTAGTTTGTACATTGATACAAAGATTGAATAAACACAAAGAAAAATTCGATCATCCGACTGGACTCGAACCAGCGTCTGTTGCCTCAACGTGGTAAAAAAGCCGTTTTAAAACCCAATACCAAGATCTGCAATAAGCACATAGAGAAATCCGTAAGGTCTGTCAATCAGATCGAGCCAATCGGTAGCTCAGTTATCAGAGCGGTAGCCGCGTTATGTACTTATGATTTTATGAGTCTTTTTTAAATAAGTAAATAAGTGCGCATTTCATCTCCAACTCACCTGATGGAAAGTGACGATGAGGTCAAATACGTGGCATGCACACTTAAGTAGTGCCTATTCAGTCTCGCCTTGAAAAGGCCCAAGTTATAGCGTTCAGGGAATGCATTTATGACGCATTTAGATCATATATATGTAAGAATTGACACACATTCCTAGTGAAAATTTTATTTATTTGTCTTAAATGTTTTACCCCTAGGTGGAGCAGCAATACTTCTATATTTGGAATCTCGCAAACTGTACGAACTGCGTGCAGAGGCGAAGAACCTAGTGGCTCAAATGCAGCATAGTCAGCCCGAACACGCGTTGCAGCAGTTGAGGGATCAGTTGCAGCAACAAAGGCAGTGGAATTAAATCTGGTATCGTATAAGTTCGCCCTTAGACGTTTAACGCGACTGCCACATGCTGCCACAGCTGTTGTGATGCTACAGTGTAGTCTGTCTTTTTTGAAGCTGCTTGCGAGCAGCTAGTGATTGCAGTTGATTAATATTCTATCGACTATCGACTGAATGCTGATCACGCTTATGCAATAAATAGCCGAACTTGTTTTATTTCAATCATCGTCGACTGATAATTTGTTCATCTGCTGGGTACAGGTGCATTGAATTGTCAAATTTTGTAAGTTCACCTGCAACCCTGCAAATGTCATTTTACCCCGTCTTCAAGAAAGCCAGACTATAGTGTACTCTACTTTGGACGTACAAAACGGTTACAAGTGTAGGAGATTAACAAATCCAAGCAGAGGTCCAATTTACAACAACAGTACGTCGCAGTCGTTTGATACATCTGAGATTATGACGCATTTAGATCGTAATTATTTTAAATTGTGTTTAGGTTTTAAAAATAAATCTCAAGTCAAATAAAAAAGACCGTTGAATATAAGCTATGTATGCTATTGGTATTGCCTTGAATGACTAGGAAAGGGATATAATATATATATACATACATACATATATTATATAATTTATATATATATATATATATATATATATATAATGTATTTGAACCATGACGATTTTTTTTTTTCAGTTTTCAGGTCTTTGAGCCTCTTAGCCATAATGTTGGTAATTTTACTAGTATTTCTCTATGCTTAATTATTACTTGTGTGTAATGAGAAAATAATATTGTGATTTTAACGCAAAAATTTTTCTCGAGGTCTATAAAGATTACTATGGAGTTTGGATGACATTAACTTTATTCAAATAGTTTGTTATATTTATTAATAATAAATAATTATAAATATTAAAGATCGAACATTTAGAAAAAATTCCTTCGATCCGGTCGGATTCGAACCGACGCCTCCTAGCAAACCGTGCCAGTCGCTATGCCAATTAAGCCACGGAACGGACTAGCGGACCTTACGAATTTTACTATCTGCTTTTTGTCGGATCTTTGTATTTGGTTTTCAACAACTTTTCAGCCGTTGTAAGTAAGCGTTCCATCTTAGTATTAATTATTATAACAAACTAGTGGAGTCATTTCACAAAAAAGTAATTGAATATCATGGTGGTGAAACATTCCGACATTCGATAAAAAAATATTCAAATAATTATTTAATCTCGTTAAATAAGATGATGATATTGGAAATTGTAAGAAATTTTTACTACAAAAGTGCGATTCGAAAATCGTTATTACAGTAGTATTATGTTTAATAGCTTACTATGTGTAACTAATTGTTCATCTTCGCACTTAAATTTACAATGTGTAAACAATAGTAAACGACATTTGTTAATTTGGACTTTTCATTCAGTGAACAAAGAAAAAGGTTCAATCATTAGATACTTTGGATTTCCAAATGGTTACTTTAAATTTTATCTACTTTTACCTTTGTAGAAACAAAGGTAAAAGTAGGTTGTTTTTATTAAAAACAGGAACGTATTTAAAAAAAATTGTGGCCTGGACGAACAAGATTGGCTGCTCATATAGCAGCAAAAAATGTATATGCCGCCAGAAATATATTTTTATTTTACTAGCAAACATTACAATTTACCTGCGACCGGCCCCCAAAAACATGAGACCCGAGAAATTCAATAAAATGAGAATTACCTATCACTAACATTTAATGAGCCTAAATTGTATATGGTATAAGGTGAGCGTACCTCGCTCGGAAAGTTTTCGTATATTTAAGACAAGAGGAATTAATTATTCGGATCAATAAAATATGGGTAGAGAGAAATGGGCTCCGCTATTTTCGCACCGAAATAAACTTTGCCGAATAAACTCTACATACGGGCCTCTGTCGCCCCGGGCTATCGCCTCCTACGTCTATTGGAGAATACATCTCAGATCGTTGATGAAGGAGAATCTCATTATTATGTAAATTTTCCGCCCAAAATGAAGTCCTTGGTTTATATTGGCATTTAATTTTTAAGGAATTGGTAGTTATAAATATAAATAAATAGAAAAGCTAGTATCAATTTTTAATTTTCTAATACTACGAAAGTGCACTTACAAAATGTTTTATTAGGTTAAGTAAGTACAGAGTGCTGTCCATAAGTATTTGTAGGCTGCGTACATGCTGTTTAGAAGGAGTTGGCGAATAGGATATGTACAAAATAATGTTTTCGTTCTATTATGTCTATGTCTAGAATGCAATATTATCGGTTTTAATAGGCTGATTTCAATGTCAAATATTGGTATTTTTCTATATGTGTATTTGAAAGACTGCCTCTCTTCCCATACATGCTTATTTTGGATATGTTTTAGTTACAAAACCGTCCAAATAAAAGAAGAAACTGTTTTCGTCTTCGGTGAATAAATGTATGTTGTTATGTACAGGGCATATTGAGACTAAAGTATTGAGGTTAAAATTTTTTCTCATTGATCCATATACCTACAACAATCCAATTATTTACTACAATTATTATGTAATGATCTGAATATGTTGGTTTAGTTATGTAATTAATTACGTACAAATATTGTGAAAACAAGTGAACTTATCCGTCCTTATATTTTTCTTGTAATTTGTGTGCAAGCTAGTTTTAAGTTTATTAGTTAGCCATTTTATTATTAGACATATTGTACTGATGGAATAAACAATTATTTTACTTAACATTTGTTTCTCATTTTCATTATTATAAGAGTACTTGGTAAAGAAACCTTTCTTTGAAAAAAAATCAATTTTTTGAAAAAGAAAAGTAATTCCGACTAATTCACGAATTTTTCCGGGAGCAAGCAGACGTAAGCATAAAGGAGCTGTATTGTAGTTCACAAGTTTCAAAAATGGCGCCGCTGAAATAAGCTTATTTTAGCGTGCTTAGTTAAACATCGTTATAACTTAAAAAAGGCGCGCCGATTAACTACGTATAACGACTAAATTTAGATTTTATGACTAGAACGGACTAAATCACGACTTTTTTACTGCAATCAGATCTAAGGCAGGTGCTATGGTTCTCGAGATTGAGGAATGATATCGCTGAAATAAGCTTATTCCAGCATGCACAGTAAAACATCCTCATAATTTTGAAACGACGAACTGGCTAAATCTAGTTTTTTGCGACTAGAACCGACTAAACGGCGACTTTTTACCGGACTAATCAATCTTCCAAAATTTAACCATGGTTACTCAAGTGTGACTTCCAAGGATAAGGGACGGTTCTACGTGCCAATTCTCAGAAAAATTTCAAAGCTATTACCGAAGCCTTAATTTAATTTAGCAATTTTGGAAATAGTTATTGTACGTTCAACTAGGTGCATAAATAACATGTCTTTTACCCCAAACGCATGTACGTTCTACGTTCGGTCGTCGGGGTTAAAAATAAATATGAATGTTACCTGGTTTGCCCATTTCACTGCACAGTTGAAGCACGTGGTCCATCGTAGACTGTGGCACGTTGCCATCTATGACTACCAGTGGCGTTTTTTCCAGCACATCCAGGTGACGGTTCACCTTTAAAAAAATTGAGACTTATGGGCGCTTCTTTTTTATTAACCGATTTCAAAAAAGGAGGAGGTACGCATTTGGACTGTGTTTTCTTTTTGTTGTATGTGTGTTACGCGATAACTCCGGCGGCATTTGCGAACTGATTTTGATGATTCTTTTTTTGTTGGAAAGAGGATACCTCAGTATTGATCTCATTTAAATTTGAAGGAAATATTCCATCTCTAAGGGTGGCAAACTAGGCGAGGAATCCGGTTTCGCGCACTTTCCGCTAACCGATTTCAATAAAACTTGGCAAATAGATATAATTCCACGAACTTTTGAGATCTTTTTTTTTTACAATAATAATAACAATAACAACGCACACACTCAGCTCATAGATGTTATAATTATTTATATTTTAGATTAGAATCAAAAAAGGGTAACATTTTCTTAGATTAAACGTAGTTGTAATTTAGTGCTTGCAGGATCCAAACAAGGCTCAATTGAACAAAAGGTTACAAAGTGACACTTAGTGTCATTGACTTACAAATAAATGGACGACGGGTCTAATACAAAAAAAACCGATAAAAATGTCCCAAGTCAACCATTGACTTACAAATAAATGGACGACGGGTGTAATACAAAAACCACGAAAAAAATGTCCCAAGTCAACCTATTCGAAATTTAAATTGTAATGTCATCGCAGTATCGCGCTGTCCGTAGAACAAATGAAGACTAAAGCGGAGTGTCGCGCTCTGTATACGATTTTAGCGCCTTACAAGTGCGGACTCTTTTTAGCGCGGACCCGACGTCCATATAATTGTAAGTCAATGAAGTCAACCTATTTAAACGTAGTGACATGTAAAGGAATATGAAAAAGTTAAAACGTTGAATTTAAATTGTAATGTCAGCGCAGTACTGTCTAATTCTGCTTGCTTCGCTGTCAGTCGAACAAACGAAGACTAAAGCGTGAATGACGCTCTGTATACCATTTTAACGCCCTATAAGTTCGGACACTTTAGCGCGGACCCGACGTCCATATAATTGTAAGTCAATGCTTAGTGTGGTAAAATAATTACTAATTAACAAAAATTTGAGAATCACTTTGCAAGAGTCGAGCGGCTTGCACACCGGTTTTCACAGCATCGCTATCTCCGAGGTCCAGAGTTCGAACCCCGGCCGGGTCAATGTAGAAGTTTTTCTATATTGCCTCGGGTTGGGGTGTTTGTGGTACCGTCGTTGTTTCCGATTTCCATAACACAATGCTTTAGCTACTTAGCGAGCAACGTATGTGATGTGATGTTTAATATTTATTTTATTTATTTATTTACTATTTGGCGACAGAAAAAGGGAAATTGGCAGTACTTACCTGAACGAACTCTTTCACAAGGAGCTCTAATGCTACTAAAAACAATTTCTTGCTTAAACTTGGGTAAAGTTCGTCTTGTAAATATGAAACACTTGCTTTGCTCGCCATCTTTGTTTAGTTGACGTCGAAGTTCGTTTTATAAATCTCAGCTTTAGTGTGGTCAATACGTACTAAGTCGACAGAAATATGATCGTGTAGAGCCATGTCGCCGAGACCAATCAAGCATTCTCCTTCCGCGTCCAAGACAACTGCATACGTTGGAGTGCGACCCCCTTGCACTATACATCCTGTTATAGTAACAATTTGAAAATGAGCATTTTTCTATCACTCACATTTAATTGTTGATAATCAAATAAGTCTTAAGTTCAAACAAGACATTTTCTCGTACGATAAACTGTCCGTTACGTCAAAATGACACTTACGATATTTTAGAATTCGATACTTCAACAAAATTATTACCTTTATATCAACAGTGGAAATTTGAAATGTGTAGAATACAATCATTTATTTCATATTATCAATTTCATAATATCACAATTCGAAATATAATGTCAAGGGATAACATGATCGTCATTAAGGTAAATAATAATTTTAATGTTAATATAAAATAAAATAATTAAAAGAAAAATAAAGAAAAATACGAACTACAAACTGACTGACTGAATGACTATTGGGCATGATACGGGATTTCTTCGTGAGAACAACACTAGGTTCAACTTAGACGTGTTTAGAATAAGCCCATTTGCAGAAAACCATTCACAAAGCTGTACGTGTATGTTACTTTTTCGTCCAATTCTGTGAAGCCTTTAGCACACACTATAACAGTAGCGTCATCTGCAAACAGAATCACCAAGCCCTCCGATATATAGTGCGCAAGATCGTTGATAAACGTCAGGAACAACGTATTACCCAAGGCCGATCCTTGAGGGATGCCGATGGTGATATCACCAGCAGCGGAGTTGGTTTTTTTGCCGTCCGTACAGACAGTACAGTAAGTGAACCCTTTGTCAAAAGGGACATTTTATCGTAAGGGAAAATGTTCTGTGTACATATACACCTTCGTGTACAACATAGTTTCCTAAAATGGTCCCTACTGTGGGCGCTGAAGAGAGAAGAGAGGGCGGTAGGGGTCTCGGAAGCAATTCAGGGGCGTTGATGCCGTCTTTGAAAAAAAAACACTTGATTTTCTATATAAAGTACACACACACATACATAATTTTTTTCTTTGTGATTTTTTGTGTTAAGTTGATATGAAAAAGTGTTTTCAATTATTTGTTTTTGTGGTGGACGTTGAAATTTTTTTATCTTGCCTAAATGGGCGATGAGTCAGAAAGTTTAGGAACCTATGGTGTTCATCATCACCACCACCGTGTACAGGATCAAGAGCATGTCAAGCTTCACACTTAAGATTAATTATTATGTTCATTTGCTCAAAATTTTTCGGAGCATATTTAATACTTGGGTCGTGTTCTGCACCTTGTAATATAAAGTTTAATATTCTTTTCAGTAATATATTAAAAAAAAATCGTAGTAATTGTTAAATAAAAAATTGTTTTCACAAAATCTTATTCGTTTCATAGTTGAATTTCGCAAAAATGTGTTATATGTGGTAAACCATAAATGCAAATTACAACACATGTCTTCCAATGTGGTTTGAAACGATTTAGTTTAAGTAAGCTTAACAGATACAACTTGTTTGAAAAATGTAAATACTTTAAATTTTGTCTATGATATGGACAGACCGGAAAATGATATAGATTCAGAAACTGAGGATTGGAATAAACGGTGAGAATAATCCTTTTACTGTTAAAATTAGAATTTGGCTAACGGCCCACGGCGGCTAATTGCGTTAATTGGTTTATTTCAATCTGAAAGAAAAGTGAGTAAGACGAAGACGATGGTAATTGAAAGGGATAAAAGTGGAAAAATGGGGACAAGGTTGGTAGCGGTGCCAGCCTTTCAGAGCCCTGTAAACACGCTTTTTGAAGAACCCTGTGTCATAGCGCAAAGGAAATACTTCAGGAGGAAGATCATTCCACACTTTGCAGGTTCGAGGAAGGAACGAATGAGATGCCAGGCATCTACGTTGTGGGGATGGACTCTACTCCTTTGGCGAGAGGTGTGATGATGGAAACGAGACGGTGGCACCAGTTCAAAAAGTTACTCAGAGCACTTCCTATTGTAAAGACAGTATAACACGCACAGAGAGCCAACTTCTCTCCGTAGGCTAAGGGGCTCCATACCGTCGGGGCTCCATCGTCTGCGAGTTTGTGACCATCGACAATACGAACAGCACTACGTTGGATGGAGTCAAGTGGGTCAATCTGGTATTTGGGAGCTCCTGCCAAGAGTTGGGAGCAATACTCCATATGGGGCCGTACTTGTGTTTTATACAACAAAAGTCAATGACCTGGTGAGAAATATTGCTTCGCTCTATTGAGCACTCTGAGCTTTTTTGAAGCCAGTTTGGCTTTGCGCTCCAAATGACCCCGGAACTGGACTTCGTTCGTGATGTCGAGTCTAAGTATCTCAATACTCTTAGAGATGGTAAGGAGAAAAGGGTAAAGGTGTTCTGTAACTGAGGCGCTATTACAAACGGGTATTTTTTAGCGGTGAACGTGTCCTTGCGGGGTTAAATTTGTCAAAATTCTGTCGGCCCCGTTCTGAGACCTGCTCCAAAGAAGTCTCGATTTTGGACACAAGTTGCAATCTATTTTGTTCCACTTGCTGGTATATATTTGTGCTACCTGTATAATAGGCATCACTGGTACTGTCATCCGTATAGCAATGAATGTTACTAGTTAATGACATATCGTTGTTATGCAGGATGAACACGGTTGGCGATAGCACAGATCCTTGCGGAACGTCGGCGTCGGCGTCGGCGTTAATGAGCATGGTGTCCGAGCACAATCCGTCCATAGCGACTTTTAAGCTCCGCTCAGACGGGAAGCTAGCGATCTAAGTGCACATCCCTTTTGGAAGCCCGTAAGATGGTAGCTTCGATAGACGTGTCTTGTGCCAAACCCGCTCAAAAGCCTTAGCGATGTCTAAGCTCACGGCCATTGCTTCCCCCTTGCTCTCAATGGCAGCTGCTCATTGGTGCGTGAGATACACAAGAAGATCACAAGCACTACGACCGCGTCTATATTAATAAGAGATGGTTAGTGTGATGATATTGAACGGAAAGTAATATTCGAAATCAGGTGAATGGAGCTCTGTATGCCTTTATGGATAGCCAAAACTTGTCAAGAAAGTGCGGGTTCCAACCCTGATGTAATGTAGCGAGTATTGGGTGTGACAGAAGAAGCATGAAATTAGGGTAAATGCTACTAATATAAGATATATAAGAGCTTTGAGTAGTATGTGCTCTGCTAGTGGGCTATTGATTATTGAAAACAATAAAGAAAAAACGCGTTGACTGACAAAAATAAAACAACTGTTACTTGGTTTAATACTTGATCACTATGAAAATGTTTTTTCTCAGTGTTTGCAAGGATTAAGTGACACTTTATACGTACTTTTCCGTATTTAGCAAAAATGTGTTAACCACACTTGACACATAAAGTAATAATTTTGTTGATATATCGAATTTTGCATAAACCATTTGCATTTAATTACTAATCATAAATTTGTTAACTTAAAAAAATAATAAACTGATCGTAATGCTTACTTCATTACAAATCTTTTGATATATAATTGTCCTGTAAACTTCATTAATTAGAGGAGTAATGACAAATAGTTGCCAAAAATCTTTAATCCTCAATATCTCGAAACTGTCATTTTGTGGGTTAACTCATTTATGCAGAACAGGGCCCACTTAGTAATAATTTTCAAAGCTTTTATTAATACCCTAAATTAATTATTTATATCACGATATAGAAACATTTAGGTATGAAAATGATGTGAATAACTTTCTGTCACATTCGTAAGTTATGTCTATTGTTGTGATATATAGGAGACGATTACAGTTTCCGTTATTAAACTGCCCTACAGTTTTGCGGCAAATTTGAAACCGAGTATTTTTAAACAAAGAATAAACAATTTAAAAAAATGGAAAAAAACTTAAAATAGTAGTGTGTACCTAAAGACAGTCGGCCTCGAAATTCGTGTTTCTTTAGTCAGCAAGCGCTTGAATGAAGTGGATGCATCTAGATAAGAGGCGCTTAGCCTAGACTAGACTATCAAGCTGGTTGGCAATTCGCCCAACGTGCTGTAATGCACTGACTGCGCTTTCCACTACTAGCGCTATTATGTTGTTAGACATCTCTGTTTTGTAATCTTGTAGTGACATGGCCTTTGGGCGTTGGGGAAACATCATTGATATAAATAGTGAAGTGTATCGATTAAAAGTGTCGAACAAAACATAACATGTTGAATTCAATCACGATAATGGTCTGAAAACAAACAAGCAAATAATTGATAGTAAAATTGTTTTTCGATGCAGTGGCGACAATGATGCTTCAGTAAAACATAAACAGCAGATTTGTATAGAATGATTATAATGGCATGCATTTATTATTTATGCGGTGAACATCAAGAGTCAAACAAGCATAATTATCCCACCAATCTACCATATACGCGTGTATAATGTGTATTGTATAGGTATAGGATAAGCTTCACTCTTAATATTTAAATTCAATTCTTACGACAAGAACAGTCCAATGTCTAAAGCATCAAGCTTGATACCCTCTTGGTAATAATCCAAAATAATAGATTAACAAAAAAATATGTATAAAACCATATACTTTCACTATTCTGTTCTCCTTATAACTAACCCATTTTGCATATCGATAACTTTCGCAATATTGGCACCAACTATTTTTTTTTCTTTGAACAATACTAATTACGTTGGTTTTGCTTAACAATAAAAATTAAACTAAATAAGAGATAAAAATATCACTTAGGTTGTAAATCTGATTTCGCTGATTCCAAAATGTTCACAACACAATTTTGCTAAAAATATCGATTACATTAGTTATGATAAGTATTACTTTTATAATTAGTATATTTCATTCTTGTAACGACATAAAATCTTCTAAATTGTCGATACCTTTTGTTAAATCAATTCTCGAAAGTTTTGACAAATATTGTATTGTCTAAAGTTCGTATTCGTAACTTCCGTAAGTACGAGTATTAAGTGCATTACTTATAAGTTCCGGCTTATTCTACCAGTAATTGAGTCAATATTTAACTTTTCTACACTTATAATTGTCTAGAAGTCATTAAAATTTATTGCTTGCTAGAAGTACCTCCTTGCCCACCAGCCAGTGTGTACCAGCTTGGTAACTAAGCTGGTATGTCACGCAGATGTCTCGGGTTCGATTCGGGCCGGGAGAAATATTTGTGTGATCCACATTTATTTCTCTTGTGAGTTTGGGTGTAATTTATGTAAGTGAGTGTCCATGGCACCTGCGATACAGGGTTTTCTTAGTACGGGCTATAAAAAAACGCTAATTACACACCATAAACGAAGATGATTTGTGAAAATTTAAAAATACGCTTTCGACGTCGTTGATTTAAAGTGACTTAGAACTAGTGCATAAAAAGCTAATGTTCGCTCGAGAATATTTTTTACCTTCAAGCAGTAACCCTGGAGCGATATTATTAAGAAATCTTCCATCGATATCGTCTCCTACAGCAGTCAACAAGCGAGCTTTACCATTACGAAGTCGCCATAATGCTTCTGCCATGTTGCGGCCAACCCCTCCACCGCATTGCTCAGCGCTGCATGCATGGGTGCTGCCGTCCAACTGAAACAAATGGTTTGTAGGTAATTCTGAATGATCATTGTAGTTTGCAATGAAATCAAATAATTTTATCGAGTTCTAAGATTTTAGCTATTGTTACACGTAGGAAATGAAACTATTTTTTCAGGTCTAAATCGCGTGTGTGTTTTTTCGGGTATAAATCGCGTGTGTGTATTTGTTTTTTTTAAACAAACGAACGTTTCGGACCCTGGTCACGGATGACTCAGCTGAGTCAGCCATGAGTAACCATCATGACATGAGTGTAATGTTGAATTAGTATTAATTTTAAAAGAAAAAGTTGCATAATAGCTTCAAAACCATCAACACAAGTGCTAGCGGACATTCCCAACGCACTGTAGAAGCGTGGCAGCTGTAACAGCATTCTGAACATATTTATTATATAAAAATGGTAGGGCGCTGAAAGCTTTTTGAGTGTAAAAAAAATTATTCACAGGCTGCATATATGAAATGACTGACGGTAAGCTTTAAATAATGTAGTGTTTTACTGCCAGGCTCTATTAAGGTACCACAATTTTAGAAATTTCTAGAAATCTAACATTTTAGGTTATTAGTGTAAAATTTTGCCGGAATACGGCAAAAGTAAAAAAGGAGGTCTGTTGGATGTCATTTTTGCAAATTTCCTTTGGGTATTTTTATATATTTTTAGGATTGGAAACGAAATTTTTTTTGGATTTAAATTGCGTATATTTCTTTTTTTCCAAACCAACCAACGTTTCGGGATATCAACAGGTTCCACGTTCACGGCTGATTCGATTTAAGAATAAAATTTGTTGCTCTTGATTTAAGTCTCTTGTTGAATGAATTTATTTATTTCTTTATTTAGGACAACTTGCAAAACATACACAAACAAATGGTCAAAATAATAAATATTGTGGTTCGAGTTATTGTGTTGTTTCACTTACAAGTTGCCACGGCATGCGTTCCTACCTTAGAGTAAGTACTTGACCGAGTACTTATATTTTTTTTTTATAAATTTTAGGAAAATTCACGATCTAATTATACAATTATAGTTATACTTAAATGTAAGTAATCAAATGCCATTTACAAGTTTCCAACTTTAGCAAACAACAGAAATTGCTTACAAAAACAAAGAAAAAAGACTGTTTAGGTTTAATTTAACATGCATCCATTGTTTACTCTTATTAACTAGATTACAATTTTGTATTACACCCATTGACTTACAATTATAATTACACCAGTATAGGGATACATTTGAATGAAATACATGTCAAAATGGAATTTGATGCTTTTTATTTTGTCGATTATTTTTTTGAAAAATTACATGTCAGGGGTCTTCTTTCAGTTGGAAATACGAAATAGGCGCATGGTGCATGTTCAAGCCGATGACCGCAGTGATGGTAATCTCGGCCCTGCAGCGCACGCGACTGTACATGTTACAGTACCTACTAGTTTGTGCGCCATAAATATAAATAATTTATGCCGATGTCAACGTTAATTTCAGTATTTGCTGGACTATGTTAGCTATACCGAGGTTCTAATGGCGATTAAATTATAGTTTCATTGTTGTTAATTTACGTTACTCTTTCGTTTTTGAATAATGTATTGATTTAACACTTTGTTGGGAACATTAGAATGAAATGCATTTTTTAATATTTGAATAGGTAAGTAAATCATTTCTAGGCTCTGCTGACTCGATCTATAGCTCAGTTAATAATTGCGGTGGCCACGTTGAGGCTACAGACGCTGGTTCGAGTCAGTCGGTTTGAAGGAATTTTCCTTTGTGTTTGTTCGATATTTGTATCAATAATTGTAACTAACTAGTGTAGAGTGTATTCTTATATTTTTTTATCGACAACTTCAGTGGTCGACACCGGTTTTCAAGGTGTCGCCCTCTCTAAGGTACTGGGTTCGATTCTCAGTCGGGTTTATGTAGAAAAACAAGAAAATCAAAGAAATACCTGGATTCTTATACTATACAGTAAGTTTGTAAACTTTCATTGGTTGGCACCGACTCCAAAAAGAAATAATTAGATATTGTACGTACATATTTAAGTGTTAATATTTTTTTAATGGTAAGATAAAACTTCAAACCGATCAGTAGGTAGCACATACCAATAATAATATTTTATTAAAATAACAGGTAATAAATAGATTCGGATAAGATTTTTCACGTTGTAATTACATACTTGTAAATATAGATAAATTGATTAATAAGTTATTATAATACTGTGTACAAAACGAAATAAGACAAAAATAAGGTTAAAGTGTTACGTGTATTCTTGTTGTTTGGATTAAACCTGTATTTTGTTATTTTTTACTTTTTAGTGTAGCGACTTTTTGTGGTTTTTATAATTGGTTGTTTAAAAAAATAAGTTTGTTTTAATACCAAATGGCAGGACGAACTAGTCATGGGCTTGGTGGTAAGCGACACGTCTGTCCATGACAGTTGTAGTGACATTCATGGCTTTAAAACGCTAAGGCACTGCCACTGCGCCCGTCACCCTGAGACATAAGTTGACAAGTCCCACGTGCTAGTAATTTCACCAGTACCCCTACCCTTCAAAACAGAAATAGGTAAGGTGGCAGTACTTCACTGGACGAATACTTTCACAAGGAGCAGCTCTTTTTTTTTTAAATAACATGGAATATTATTAAAAAAAAATGCATTATGCATTAGGTACGAGAAGTATCTACAAGGTATTATGTTTGCTTATCTTTACCTGCTAATAAGAATCAAAATCATCGTTAATCGGCTCGGGACTACTTTAAGAAAAGGGGAAACTCAAACTTTCTGGCTCACCTAATCTTGCCTAAATGAGCACTTAGGTAAGATAAAAAAAATTTTACACCTGTCACCACAAAAATAATTGAAAACACGTATTTTTTATATTAACTTAACATGTAAAATCACAAGGACAAAAATATACATAGAATCGATGGTAGAAATTTTAAATGTCGTAAGGGACAATTTCTTGTACGACAAAATGTCTCTTATGTCAAAATATCTCTCATGACGTTTTAAAATTCGATACATCAACAAAATTACATGTCGTAAGGGCCGTCCTACAAGCACACAAGCTGCTTAAATTACCTCTGTACAACCTAAAAGTTGTATATTAGCTGTTTAAGGGATGTACGGACAACGGCACATCAGACTACACATTTTTGTTCGAAAATCGCCTCCATTGCAACGGAACAAGATACGTCAATGAGTAGCTTAATGTGCTGGCGTGTGTACTATAGTACTTAAGTCCTTCAGTAGCGTATTCAAAAGTAATTATTATATATTATACAGGCGCAAGCCGTACGTACAATAGCCGTACAACGGTAAATGTAATCCTAAGAGAGATAAAAAGACTAGTCATAGAGCTATTGTATGGGTAATTGATGTAAAACAGAGTTGTAAATACCTTTTATAACACCGTGAGGTCTTGTAGAGGGCTTTTGAAGTTAGAAGTATTTGAATGGAGTTATTAGCTTACTTTAAAACGTTTTGGTGGTATATAGAATATTTCTAAAGCTCTTATAACACCTTGAGGTCTTGTAGAGGGCTTTTGTAGTTAGAAGTGTTTGAATGGAGTTATTAGCTTCGTTTAAAATGCTTTTAGTTGTATGTAGTATGTTTCGTGTAGTATATAACGCCTGAAACTGTTAAATAGATTTTACTACAGCCTTTGGAACACTATATCTACTGCAGGTAAATATATTTCAAAAGTAGCGCTTAGTCCGTTATATTTGAGAATTCTACAGCAACTTTACTTCTAAAAACTTACAATAGCGCGTCAATACCACAACTATAAAACCGAAAGGTGAATACTAGCGGCTAAATCGGTAGAACGGTGTTAGTAAACTCTGAAAGTCTATTTTGATTTACAAAACAAAGTTCTTGTCCAAAAACCCTTTATTTACAATAAACTGGCACTCGCAATTTTATTTTGCATGTATTCAACGGAAAAGTTATTTTATCAAATTGCTGTCATTTTTTATTTGCAATTGTATCCTCCATCACTTTCCAGTTAGCAAGGTCACGGTCTTTGTGAGCAATAAAATGTGTTTTGTTTATTTCTTCGAAATATCGCTGCTGTATATCTAGTAAAGCGCCGTAAACTCTAATTCAGAGATACAGTCGCGTCTAAATAGAATGCGAGCCTCTATAGTTGCGCTGCAAGAACTTGTTTTAGATACTTAGGCGCACATTACCGCTCGCATAGCTCCTTTGTATTACTTAG